ATTGCCTTCGATTTATTAATGACGAATTCAATTGAATTTGTTTCGTTTAAATTTTTTTTCCCCCTTTATCCTGTCAAAAATAATCGGGAAAAAAAGAAAGAAAAAGAGAGAGAGAGAGAAAGGGAGAGAGAGAAAGAAAGAGAGTGAGGGAGACAAGGAAAAAAAAGTCATTCCAAAGAAAATTTTTCACGACTTTATTTAAAAAAAAAAAAAAGAAAAAAAAATTCCAGTCACATTTATTTTAAACAAACTAATTGTGAGAAAAAGGAAAAAAGGAAAAAAAGGAAAAAAGGTAAAAAAAAGGAAAAAAAGGAAAAGAGTTTTTTTTAAAACCAAATGACAAAACTTTTTTTTCTTTTTTTGTGTTTGATATAAATTATTTAACGCCATTAAAATTCTACGAGTAAATTAAATTATTTATTTACAGGTGTAATGATTATCGTGTCCGCCATATTTTTTTTTCCTTTTAATTTTTCTTTCTTTATTATTTCTTTATAGTTTCTAACCCGTATTATCGAAATTATTATTATTATTATTTGTAATTTCCTGAAATTTGGGAAATTTCAGAAATAAGGGAATGATTTTACGTTGACGGTTAATTCCCCCTTTTTTTTTTTGTTATCGTTATCACGTGTCATGCGTGATGACACTTTAAGTCGTGACGTGTACATTTCACGTCCAGGACGAATCGGGTTTTCATCGAATTTTCCGCGGTGATTTTCGAACCCACAAATTATAACCCGTTTTCATTTAGCTACTATTTTATCATCATCATCATCATCATCATTATCGATTATACCTTTTTTCAACTTGTTTCATTCTATTTTTTTTTTTTTCTTTCATTCTTTTCTTTATTTCTTTTTCTTTTGTTTCTTTATTCTTTTGGATTCTGTTGCCACACAACAAAAAATTAATAGAGAAAAGAAATTTTTTTTTTTTTTTTGTTCGTAGCCACTTTGAAAAAAATTTTTTTTTTTTTTATCGTTTTCGAGATTATAATAGAAGTAATAATAATATTGATAATAATAATAATAATAAATTTGCATCGCTTTATTTTTACCGCATTATTTGTAAAATTGAAAAAATTAAAAAAATTTTTTTTTATCTTTTTTTTTCACAATTTTTTATTTTTGTATATATATTTTTTTTAAATTTTTTTTGCTACTAAAAATGTAAATTTTTTTTGCTGCGGTTCGATCCATTTTTACTTTTTTTTACTTTTTTAAACTTTCGTCTACGTTTTTATATATATATATATATATATAAATCTGCACACAACGAATAACATTATGTGGGTAATTTATGTGTCAATTATATTTTGATTTTTAAAAAAAATTTTTTTTCTCTTTAGCGACTGTCATGTCATCATCATCATAATCATCATCATCATCACACGTACATGCGCACACTCACGCACACACGCATATACATTCATTAACGCGTAATTTTTTTTTTGATTAATAATAATAATAACGACGTAATTAAACCAAGCTTGATACATTAACGTAATTTTTAAAAAAAATTTTTTTTGCACGTGCACTTTATAATTTTTTAAAAAATGATGAAGTTAAAAAAAGCGCGGGAAAATTACATTTTAAACAATTTTTTTTTTTTTATAAAGTTTGTTGGTAACACTTATTAAAACAACAACAAACATTACGATAACGAATTAAATTTAAATTTAAATAAAAGAAAAGGTGAAAAATACACACACACACACACTTGAAATAATTTTTTTTTTTTTTAATTATTATCATTATTATTATTATTATTATTATTATTATTGTTTTAATATAAATATATATATATATTTTTATATAATATATATGTATATATAAAAAATTCAAATTACAAATGAAAAGTTTGTTATTTTTTAGAACAAAAAGAACGAAGAGGAAACCCTCCAACAATTACTACAGGTGAGATATTATTATTATTTAAATAATCCGTTCTCATCTTACGTTTGTGTGTTTTTTTTTTTTTTATTGCGTGTTTTTAACTATCGATATGCTTACATGTATTTAAACAAACAAAAAAAAACAAACAAACAAACATGTTTGTCGTATCGATAAATAAAATAGTTATTAATTAATTAAATGTTCAAATGAGTAATTTTTGATCGGGTATATATTATTTTTTTTACATCCCGAATCGGTTTTACTTGGGGGTGGGGGTTTTCTTCTCCCCACGTAGTTTAAATTGAAACCTAGTGAGGAGGGGGAAGGGAGGGGGAAACAAAAAGAAAGGAATTATAACCGGAAACGATATTTTACGACGTGTTTTTCTTTAAAAAAAAAAAATTTCTTTAAATGAATTTTGAAAACTTTTAAAAGATTTATGCGTGTTTACTAAGTATTATTTTTAATCCGCCATTTTTCTTTTTTTTTGTGAAAAAGTTAAAATTTTGTTTAAAAAAAAAAAAAAGGAAACGGATGAAATCGAAAAAAAAAAAAAAATATATATATATATATATATATATCACGTGAAAATTGTCGAACCGTAAACGTCTATGAATTTTAATAGAAAAAAAATAAAAAAATAAAAAATTTTCTATCGTGTTTGTTTTGTATAAGTAAAAAAAAGTAAAAAGAGAAAGAGAAAGAGAAATAGAAAGAGAAAGAAAACAGGTTTTCGTTGCAACCGTTTGTGTTGTTACATTTTTCTTTCGTGTAACGTAAAAATAAATTTATTATAAAAAAAAAAGGGATCTTGTGGGTTTTTTTTTTTATTTTAAATTTTGTAAAAAAAAAAATAAAATAAAATAAAGAAAGAAAGAAAGAAACATAAAAAAGCACTCAATCATATGCAAGGTTGTCAAAAAAAAAAAAACTTGTACGAAAACGGGGAGAAAAAAGAAAATGCCGGCGCCTTTTTCTATTAATTTCTCTTTCCGCTTCCGTTTCCGCTCCCGATCCCGCGTTATAACCGAAAATAAAAATTTCCCGTATTCTTTATTATCATTATTATTATTACGGCAACTATTACTTTCTTGTTTTTTTTTTTTGTGCGCGCCAATCAATAAAACTTTGGGTTGCTTCTTATATAAAATATTCACGATCGCTTACGTCATTTTAAATAATTAATAATAATAATAAAAGTTACTCGGAATTATTATTTTATTACGATAATAATTTTATTTTAAATTTTTAAACTTTAAAACTCGCGGTTTTGTCGAGTCGGATATTTATTATATATAAATAAATAAATAAATAATCCGAGTTGCGTATTAACAAAACAGGAAACAAAAACCTCAAAAGTCGGATAAGTTCACGTGGGATAATTTCCTTGTTATGACGTCACACACGCGTACACGCGTTTTCCATTTTTTCTTTTTTGTTTAACATTAAAATCAAGCTTATTATTTAATTAATTAAAAACCGCATAATTATTAAATTACTTATTAACAATTAACATTAAATTTATTTATTTATTTATTTATCTAAAATAATTGATGCGATTGACGTCATCAGAAAGAGAGAGAGAGAGAGAGAAAAAAAAAAACGATTTCAATAATTATTCATTTGAACGAAAATTATTTATTGAAATTTAAAATAAATAGTATTATTATTATTAGTATCATATTAGTTGCAAATGGCATTTAGCTTCTTGCATGCACGAAAAACAAAAAAAAATACATAATGTAAATAAATCGATCATTATTATTAACTTATTAAGAAATCAATGAGAAATTTTAATTAAAATTTAACGGGGGAAAGGAAGGAAAAAAAAAAAAAAAATTTCTTTACGACGTATTTCCTCTTTTCCCGATCCGTTTTCTTTCCTTGATAAAAATTTTTTTTTTGTTTTCACGGTTCAATGACCTTTCGTACAAACTCTGCGCAGGTTCGGTTATCATTATTATCATTATTAATATCGTTGTTGTTTTTTTTTTTTACATCGTATCCTCTACGTATGTATGCGATTTATTAATTTATTGCATTGGGTTGCAATATTTTGTTTTGGTCACGTGTACCCGTGACGTCATTATGGCGATTTGTTGTTTAATTATTTTTTATTGAATTTTTTAATTATATAGAATTTATTTAAAACGTGTTATCGCAAATATTGATAATAACAATGAAATGATAAAACATAAACGAATTAATTTTAATTTTAAAAAATCGTAAACGCCATCGTGCGCGCCATTTTATTTTTAACCAATCGCAAGTCGTTAGAAAAATTTGAATTTTTTTTATAATTCGCGCCTTTTTCTCTTTTGTTTACAATTTAAAAAATTTCTCATTGGTTTTAACAAATCATCATGCATGTGATTAATTAATAAAAAAAAAAATCAAAATACGAGGACCATGATCGTCGTCGAACATTCGTCGGTAAGTTTTTTATTTATTAATTTTTCTTTTTTTAACTATTTATGGCAAACGTTTATTTACTCTATGGTATTAAAAAAAAAAGGGGCGGGGGGGACAAATTAAAAATTTAAAAAGATCAGGTGACGTATTCGCTATGGTTTTTTTTATTTTCTTTGGTTTAACCTGGAAAAATTTTTTTTTTTTTTTTTCGTTTAAATTTTTTTTCGGTCATTAATCAACCAACCCATTTTACGGATGCAGTAGGGTTAATAAACCCCCTCCCTTCCTCCCTTCCTTCCCTCCCTCCCGGAACGTTGCAAAAGTTTAACCGACGGAAATAAATAAAAAAGAAAAAGAAAAAAATTTCATTCCTTAATTAAAAAAAAAAAAAAAACTTCGGGGTAAAAAATTTTTTTCTTTTGTTTTTTTTTAATATTTTTTTTGTAGCTGCTTTTATCGATTTTTTTTTTATTAAATTAATAATAATAATAATAATAATAATAATAATAATAATAATAATAATAATAATAATAATAATAATAAATTTATATTGATTTGAAAAGAAAAAAAAGTCGACATTCAATTACATTCGTTACAATTCGGGGGGGGAAAAAAAGGTACGTAAACGTAATCGTACGATGTTAAAAAATAGCAGAAGAAATTTTTTTTATAGGAAAAAAAAAAAAAAAAATGTCTTCTGCTGTTCGTAATAGATAGATTGAAAACATGTGATTTTTATTTTGTTAAAAAAAAAAAAAAAAAATTAGTTTCGTAAAAATAGTTGAAATGTGTTTTGTTTTATATTAAGAAAACGTAGTAAAAAAAAAAAAAATCCATCCATTCATCCAACCAATCAATCAATCATTCATTCATTCATTTATTTACGGTTATGTTATCGTAATAATAATAATAATAATGATAATAATGATAGATAATTATTTATTAGGGTGAAAGGAAAAGAGATTCTCCAGGGGGTGCAAATGAAATAATTGCTTGCACAAATTGTGGTCCAAGCACGTGTACGCATTCGGCAAATAATGCGTGCGGAGCTGATGCGGTGAGTTTTCCTTTTTTTGCGCTTGTTTTCTGAGGCATTAACGGTAGCAAAAATAGAATAAAATAAAATAAAATTTAAAAAAAATATGATTACAGATTCGAAAAAAGGAACCGCCACATCCGATAAGAGTTGCTAAAACGATCGACGTTATAGCCCGGATAACTTTTCCGACAGCCTTTGCAGTATTCCTTATATTTTTCTTCAAACATTACAAAGCGTTTTCATAAAATGGAAAAACGAATGCAGGATGATTTTTCGTAACGAGGGTTTTTAAGAAACAAACAACATTTTGGTGATTATTTTTTTTTTTTTAAATTTTCGACACGATTAACAAAATCGCGCGTGATTCATCAAGGAAATTCATCGTCACTAACACGTCACAGGAAGTATGGCGGCGGCCATCATTGTTCACGTTTTAAATTTTTTTCTTTTCTCTTCTTTTTCTTCTGCTCCCCCCCCCCATTTTTTTTTTTTTGTCGTTCGTTAAATGAAAATATTGTCGTAAAAGGGTCAAATCCGCGACGACGATGTTGATGATACAGCTTAAATATTCGATTTAAAGGGTAAAAACGTGCATATTTATCATCATCATCATCATCATCGTCATAACCGTCGGTATCGGAAAAAAAAAAAAAAATTTTCGAGTATTAATAGAATGGGAAACGCGTCAGGTGTTGATAAAAAAAAAAAGAAAAAACGTCAGTGCCGCAATTAAAATAAACGACATGCGAACGCGACATTTTGAAAAAAAAAAATATATATATATATAGTATCATCATTATCATCGTTATTAGTTTTCGAATCGCGTTTATGTAGACATTTATTAAAAAAAACATTATTGTAAAAAAAAAAAAAGAATAAAACGAGATCTCAAACAAAAAAAAAATTTAAAAAATTAACGTTACCAATTAGTTGTTACCAACGAGATTTTATTGTTTTCGTTTATTTAAAAAAAAATTTTATTATTATTATTATTATTATTATTATTATTGTTTGCATCGTCCCGTACGACAGCAAAATAAAATTTTTAAAGTTTTCTCGATGCAATAAAAAATTTACAAGTTGAATTTTATGTATATTTATTGCAATGAAGAGAATTTTTTTTTTCGATTTTATCCAATTTCCCGATTATAAAAAAAATATTAATCCTTATCACTTTCCCTCCCCCCGTCCCCCACACACACTCACATTCGCGCTTTTCAAATTTTTTTCCCGCGTAAATAATAATAATAATTATGTAACGGTTTTTTTCGGGAAAGTGAAGTAACCACGTGAAAATTTATTTAATGTTCTAAATAGAAAAAAAAAAAAAATGTTTTCGATATAATTATACATAAATATATATATATATATATATATAAATATAAAATACTCGTTAATATATTTAAATTATTATTATTATTATTATTTTATTTATAATTTATTTATTTAATAATAATAATTAATAAAATCGAAAAAAAAAATTTATAAAAATGAAATTTCATATCTGCGTACGTATTTATGTACATAAATCAATCATAACTCGATAAATATAATTTATTAATAGACTAAGAAAGAAAAATTTAGGTAATAATAATGATAATAATGATAACGTTAAATTTTTTATTTATTTATTTATGATTGTTATCCCCCTCCCCCCCCAAAAAAAAAAAGAAAAAATTTAATTATTTATTAAAATTTTATTGATTTATTATTAGTTATGTAAATAATTTGAAAAAATTATTATTATTATTATTATTAATTTTATGAATTGTTTTTAAGTTTGAAAATTTTTAATGGGAAAAAAATTTTATTATTATTATTATTTTTTTTTGTTATGGTTGTTGTTTTTGTTGTTGTTGTTGTTATGTATCTTGAAATGATTTTAATATTACGAGAGAGATTTTTATACGAGGGAAATAGATGCGAAAAATACAAATGCGATGACGTGTGTAAATAATCATCATTATCTCCTCTTCTCCGCCTCCCGCCGCCCCAGTTAATTTTAAATTTTTCCCTCCTCCTCCTCCCACTTCTCCTACTCCTCCTACTCTATCCGAATTTTTCTCGTACCATTTTTTCCATTACTTTCCCGCTTTGATCACCTTTTCATGGTCATCATTCTTTTATCCTTATATGGAAAACGTGATTCGGGGGAGGGGAGAAGGAGGAAAATGTTAAATGAGAGGAAAAAGGGTTTATCTGACACTTTTTTTTTAAGGTTGAAAAGGTACGTACTAGTATAATCGAATTTTTTTTTTTGTTAAATTTATTATTACGTCATATAATTATTACGCTGCACAGAGCTTTATCACTTATTATTGTTATTAATATGAATAATAATAATAATAACGAATAAATTTTATTGATTAATAATAATAATAATAATTAATATTTATTAATCTTATTGTAACACTGCGGTCCACATAAATAATAGTGTTTATAAATAATAGTAATAATAATTAAAAAAAAAAAAGAAAAGAAAAATAGGTTTTTGTATTTTTTTAATAAATTTTATGTCTCTCTCTCTCTCTCTCTTTATCTCTCTCTGTCTCTTTACATAATGTTAATTAATAATAATAATAATACTTTTCACGCGGATAATTATTAATAATAATAATAGTAAAAATAGTTATTATTAAAAAATTTTTTTTTAAAATCAATTTATTATTTATTAATTTATTATTGATGACGTCACGTTAAAATTGAGATTTATGTATTTATTTATTTATTTTACGGTTAATAAAATTTATTTAAAAATTAATTAATTAATTAATTAATTATCCGGCGTGATTTATATATTTTTTATTTTAAATAATTTATTTCCGTACTAATAATAATGATAAAAAATAAAATAAATAAAATAATATGCTTGTAAATATGCTTTGGCTTTAAATTTATTAATTAACTATTTATTTATTTAATTATGTATTTATTGATTTAGTTTTGCACTTTAAAAAAAAATAAAAAATAAAATTTTATTGTAAATAATTTTTAATAATATTAATAATGATTAAAATTATTAGAAAAAAAAAATTTTCGAATAATGCGGGTGATTATGTTATTAATACGCGCGGTTATGTATTAATTTATTTGTAATAATAATAATAATAGTAATAATAAACGATAATAATAATAAAATCGGTTAAATTTAAAAAAATAATAATTTTTATTTTTTTTCTTTTACATAAATTTATTTATTAACCGTGCGTATTTAATAATAATATTTTAATTATTAACGGGTCCTCCTTCTCCTTCTCTTCTTCTTTTATTTATGTACATAATATTAATAATATTGATAATAATAATATTTTGATCACGTTTAAAAATAGTTTTTTTTTAATTGCACACGTTAGAATTGCCTTTTAATATATATATATAATTATAAGATTATATTATGTTATATATATACATAAAATTATATTGTATTTATATGTAAAAAGTTATTTATTTATTATTATTAATAAAAATAAATAAATAAATAAATAAAATTTTATGTATGCGTTAAATTTTATAATTGCTAAAAATTTTATGCTTGCTTATTAACATTATTTTTATTTGTTTTATTTATTTAATTTTTTAAAAAATTATTAAGGATTTTTTAAATTCATGAAATTTTCCCGCGCTTTTTTTTAAAAATTTTTTTAAAAATAATTTTTATTAATACTTTGGGCGAAATGTATTTATCACGCGAAAAATTACGAGTAATAAATTATTTTGATAATAAAATAAAAATAAATTTTTATTTAATTTCACCGACGGCAAAATATACGAATGTGACGTCATAAATCATAAAATCCTCGTCGTCGTCATTCGTGATGACGTCAATCCCAATTGAATTTCCGAAATGGAAAAATAAATAAATAAATTACGGAAACGGATATGGCGGGCGGAGGAAATGATGAGTTATCAAAATCCTTTTATAAAATGATAAAACAAAATTTTATTATTATTATTATTATTAATATTATTAAATAATTATAAATAATTTATTCGTAATTAAAAACTGGAGAAGATAGTGATCATAATAATAATAATGGAACGAGGAAAAAAATAAAATAAAAAGAAAATTTAACGATGTAATGGAATTATACGTACTTACGTCATCGTAATAATTAAACGATAATAATAATAATAGACGGGGATTTTTAATAATGATAATAATAATAAATTCAATTTTCGTTTAAGTGGTCATCATCTCTTCCAGTCATGGAATTTTTTATGGAAAAATCTTTCGAATCATTCCTGTTAAATTTCGATTTGTCTTTATCGAAATCGGAGGATTCGTCTGATTTGTTATCATCGGGACGTTGATGATGATAATAATAATTATTAGTTAACGGTTTGTCGTTGGTAAAATTAACTTTATGCTGTTGTAAATTATCCTCTTGATTTTTTATTTTACGCGTATCGCATTTGCTTAAATTATCGTTAAGCGACGGAACGCGAAATTCTGAATTTTTCCTCATATTTTTCCCTGGAGAATCATCATCATCATTATTATTATCATTATTATTATTTTTTTTTGTCGTTTTAACCGGAGTCATCGGACGGGAATAAGACATTTCCGGTATGCTGTGAAATGCGTGAATGGATTCGGATCCGCTCATGCTCGTAATTTTCCTCATTTTTATTTTATTATTTTTTCTTCCCGGTGTTCCTGGAGCGCTTTTCCTTTCTCCAAAATATCTCTGTAAAATGATGACGTCATTATTTTTATAAATAAATAAATAAATAATTTTAAAAAATTTCAAAATACTTACGATTCGTTTCTTTATTTAAAAAAAAATGATTCGTTATATTATTTTATAATTAATTGGTAAACTTGGCAACAACGAATCAAATTTTTTTTTTATTTCGATCGATCGATCGATCGATAGATCGAATAAATATTAAACGATAATAAATAATTAAAATATATATGTAATTAACAATAAAAATTTGTTTTCAAATTAAAACTACAAAATTTTTAAAAAATTATTAAAAACTACATAATACGTATGAAATTTACAATTTAAAAAAAAAATTTTTGACCGTGTGTGTTTGTGTTTGTGTTTGTTTGTTTGTTGTGTGGGTTGTTGTTGTTGTTGTTGTGATGTCGTGTCGTGTCGTGTCGTGTGTATCTAAAAATAAAAACTAAAAAAAAAAAAAAAATTTTATTTTATTTTTATTAACATTTTTTTTTTATTTATTATTAATTATATTTCAAAGCCAATACATATTCGTATATATATTTATTTATATATCGTAATGTATATTATAATAAATATTTATATAAATTTTAATCACGTGATAAATAAGAGCGTAAATATTATTATTATTATTATTATTAATAATTTTTTTTTTTTTATAGTATAAAAATTAACTTAGAAACAATAATAATAAAAAAAAACTATACAAAAAAAAATAAAAAATGAAAAATCAATAAAAAAAATTAAAAAAAAGTTATTGGGAATCGGTCAGGGACGAAACCAGGATATTAATAACTTTTTTTAGGCATTTTAATCGATGTTGTTAATAACGGTAATAATAATAATAATGTTATTTAATAATAATAATTTTAAAGAAAAATCGATAATTACACGGGGGATAAGAAGAGGGAAAGGGAGGGAAATTTTTTTATAAATAATTTAACGATGAAAGGAAGCAAAAAACGCGGAGAGGGGAGGGGAGGGGGAGGGCGTGAGAAGAAAAAAATGATTAGATAGCTTTTTTTTTTTTTAAAAAAATTTCTTTTGTGCTGCCAGTAAAGTTGAAAGATGCTGTTGAATTAATGGCGGTGCTCGTGTGTCGATGATACTACACGTGTACAAAGAAAACAAAAGAAAATTTTGAAGAAAAAAAAATTTTTTTTCCTTTAACCGTCGTCTTGTGATGTTTCGGAAAATGATTTTGATACAGACGTATGAAGCGGACTCTGCGAATTAATAAATGAACTAAATAAATAAATAAATAAATAACGTGATCGATCGATCGATCGATAAATTTCAAATATCGATTTATTGGTGTTTTTATTGATTTTTCTAATTTTCAATTGCAAATCGTGTTTATTTATTTATTTACGTGAGGAGGAGGGATGAGGGTGGAGGTGGGGATACCTGATTTCCAGAAAATCCACCATCTGAACTAGTTGCTGAAATTTGTTTCAGGTATGTTTTATCATCGAATATTTTAACATCACCTCCTCCAGGTTTATGTTTGACATTATCAAGTGATCCAATTTTACTTTGGGCTTTAAATTCTAATTTTTGATTTTCGATCTGGAAAACAAAAAAAAAATGGCGTGTTTAAAATCGGAAAATTTTTTTTTGTTTAAAAAAAAAAAGATTTTCCGTACCTTAACGGTTCCACCACCTGGCGTGTGTTTTAAATTATCTTTAGAACCGACTTTTGATTTTGCTTTTTCTTTAAAGTCTAATTTAATAGACTCGATTTTCTTATCACCGCCACCAGGTTTATACGTCGTGTTATCGAGCGAACCTACTTTTGATTTTGCTTCCCATTGCAATTTTACTTGAGGAATCTAAAAGAAAATTTTTTTTAAGGAAAATGGGTCAAAAAAAAAGAAAATTTTTATATAAATTATTATTATTATTACCTTTTTATCACCTCCTGATCGAACGTATTGATCATTTTTGGCTTCGATTCTCGATTGGGCTTTGCTAAAATCAATTTTATGATTTTCTATTCGAATATTTCCACCACCAGGTTTATGTAGAGTATTTGCAAGGGATCCAACTTTTGATTTTGCCGCTTTTAAATTGGGCGATGGTGCAGCACCAACTTGTACTTTATTCATTGGAACTTCTTTAAAATAATTTTAAATAATTAAAAAAAAAAAAAAAAACTGTAATAATGATAATAATTATAATAATAATAATAATAAATTTATTACTTTTATTCAGGGGAGTCTGAGGAGCTGTAGTACTTTCTGGTGTTTTTGGCAATGATTTGGCTCTGGGAGTTCCTGGAGATTTCAATGGTGTGCTCGTGGATAAACTCAATGGGCTTCTTTGTCCGGGTCCTGGAGATCTTGAATGAAGTTTTTTAGGAGTCGGAACATCTCCGTTTGTTGTCGGTTTGTTCGTCTGAACAACAATCATCGAGATTATTTCGGTAAGTTTGTTTTTTCAATTAAAAATTTTATTTTATTTTTTTTATTACTCACCGAATTTTTTTTTATTTGTTCCGATTCTTTTCTATTTTCACCTGGAATTGGAAAAAAAAATGGCGATTATTTCGGTTAATTAAATGTTTAAACAATTAACATTTTTCTGGCATTTTTTTATTACGTAATAAGTTCAAAAAAAAACTCTCAATTTAAAAAAAAAATGCGTAGAACTCAAATGGGTCAATTTATTTGTTTTTCCCGTAAAAATGACGATGGAAAAAATACCGGAAGTGAATAAAAAATTATTTATTTTTATTTAATACACAACAGGTACATGAGAGGTGGTATACCGTCGGTGAAATAATAATTAAACTCACCACATTTAAAATAACGCATTTCTTTTGAATTATGAAAAAATTGTAAAAGTTCTTCTTCCGGTTTAATTTTATATATTTTTCTTTACGTTTTACTCCGTAATAATTTTGCATTTTCGGTTTTTTTATTTTCGATGACGTCGTTATGACGTCACGTATTTTTCTTTTTTTTTTCGGAATTTTAGCAACTTTTGACGGGGCGGTATAAATACTTTTTAGGTTTGGATGATACATGGGCGTTTCATCGACGCCACATTCATTTTCCTCGACGTTTTTGTTTTTTATATTATTATTATTATTATTATCGTTATATTTTTCCAATTTCACATCTAAAATCGTTTTAGGTTTTAATGGAATTTTTGCCGTGTCTTGTTCTTCGAAAAATTTTATATTTTTGTAAACCAATCCCCCGGATTTTAATTCTCGATTTTTGTGGATTTCTGGAATGGATTTTAAAGGATCCGTTGGTGGTTTTCCATTTTCCGACTCGTTTGGTTTCGTTTCAGGTGGTATTGATGACGAAGACAGAAAATTTTTTTCGTTAATCGTTGGTATGTTGCTGTCGCCGGCCGGATCTTGTGATTTTACGTCGTTTTCTTTTTTATTTTCCTCGTTTGTAATTTTTTCCTGCTGTAAATTCAATGTCGAAAACGATTCTTGTTTAATAAAAGTCGGGGGGGTTTGTCTGCCATCATTTTTTTCAATCGTTTTAAATTCTTGCTTTTGTATTTTTTCATTCGAACCGTTTAAAAATTCGTTGGAATTTTTATGATTCAATTGAATTTTCTGTTGGATTATTTCCGGTTGTTGGTATTGCGGTCTCGTATTATAAAGTGATTGATTTGAGGATTGACGTGATAAATTTGTTCTTTCTTGTATTGGAGGTCTTGTTAAAGGTCCCGGTGCCTGAAATCTCTGCTGTTGCTGTTGTTGTTGTTGTTGTTGCTGTTGTTGTTGTTGTTGTAGTTGTTGTTGTTGTTGTTGTTGTTGCTGTTGTTGTTGTTGATGTTGTTGTTGTTGTTGTTGTTGAGAATTTTGTAAATTTGTATAATTTCTTTGCAAATCTTGAGAATCGATATTTCGTTGCTGTGGTATAGGTTTTTGCGGATAGTTCGAAACATTATTAACATTACCCGGTTGCCTATCCTGTTGGATCTCCGAATACATTCTGGGACTCGGTCCTCCTCCTTGTTGGGGATTTTGTTGGGAAAATCTTTGCTGTCCGTATTGTGCCGGATTATGCGAATTATTTTGATTAAAGTTTTCTATTCTCGTTTGAGGTTCCATTCTCGTAAAATGATTTTGCTGAGTAAAATTTTGATTTATTTTAACTGGATTATTTTCCAAATTATCCTGACGCGTTTGAATCCTTTCGTTCGGACCTGGAGTTCCATAAAATTTTTGATTTTCAAACATTTTTTCCATGATTTCTTTTAATTATTTGTTTTGTTGTAAATTGTTTAAAGTACAAAAAAATATGCGATTCGTAACCTTCACGCGAGTTTTTATTACTTTAAGTAAAAAATAGATTATGACAACATATAATGAAAATAAATAAATAAAGTTTAAAGGCCACGGCAAGCTACTAATAATACGTTAAACAATTTTTTATTTGTAAGGAAGAACAAAATAGAAAGTTTTTGTTTTTATCTCATTGGTATCTTAAATTCCAGTTTGTTTTTTTTTATTAAATTTCACCTGTGTTATCGACACGAAAATTATTATTATTATTACTATTAAAACTAAATGAATTTTTTTTGAAACTATAACCTAATGCAAATAATAATAAAAAAATGTTTTGTTTGTTTTGTTACTATCACTAATATGTGTTTAAACTGACTGACAGAAGATTGAGTTTTCATTTTTTTTACCAAAAGGGGGGTAAAAGTTCGTGATCAAACAATTTCTTTTTTTTTTTTTGGTAAATCGTATCTGTTGGATTGTGTTACCGATTTTTTGTTTTTTTTTTTTTTTTTTCTCATTTTGTGTAATAAAAAATTTTATTTTTTAAAATAAATTTAAGTAAACGTATTTAATGTTTATTTAATATGGGGGAAAAAAAATAAATAAATAAATAAATGCGTCATGCACGTATATATGAACGAACGATTGCGCCTAAAAAAAATTTTTTTTTTTACTAAAAATAGGTCATCGAACCAAAAAAAACGAAATTTGACGACCGAAATGATCGATTGATGATGAATGATGTGAGAATGTTGAAAATTAAGATTTTCCTCCGCCGCCCCCATCCCTCACACACACCCCACCCTTTCCTTCCAGCGGAAATTATTTTTCTGATTGTTTTTTTTTTTTTTACAATCGAAAAAAGGGCAACGACCTTTAGAAAAAAATTTTTTTTTTCCAAAAGAACGATAAAATCGAATTAAATTTTTAATATCGAAAACGAAACCTTTTGAAAATTATTAATTTTCCGGGGGGGAGGAAGAAGGGGATGAGGGTCGTAATGATAACTTTCAGGTATAAAAAAAAAGGTATAAAAATTTGATTCATCACGCGGATTTCTTTATATCATATTTTTAAATAAAAAAAAATTATTATCATTATTAATTTTTAATTTTCACGCTTAAACAAAAAAAAAAATTCGAGTTAACCATTTGGGGTTTCGTAAAAAAAAAAAATGAATCGATTTTTTAAAAAAATCAATCAATCGTTTTAATCGATATCGATTAAAAATATTTCATCCCCATAATCATCCCTCGTTAATAATTTTTTATTGATAAAAAAATGAAATAAGAATTATTTGAAAAAAAAATTTTTTTTTTTAACCGTAAAAAGAAATTATTATCATTATCGTTTAAACCCACGATTTAATAAATAAATAAATAAAGTTACATAAATTAGAATAATAATAATTATTATTATCATTATTAAAAATCATTAATCACAATTCAATAAGGAAGGCGTTGAAACATAAATTTTATTAACAACGACAATAATTTTTCTAAAAAAAATTTATGTAAATAAATTTGAATTAATCATCATTATTATTAATTCTTTTAAATTATTATTATTATTATCATTGATATTAATTGATTTGTTATTAATAATTTATAACAAACTTAATTCATTATTATTATTATTATTATAATCGCGTTGATTAAAAATTTTTAAAAAAAATTAATCGAATGAATTATTAATAATAATTATTATTATTATTTAGTGCGAGTTTTAAAACCTTAAAAAAATTTTTTTTCCATCATTCGGGGTTAAAGTTCATAAATTGAAAAAAAAAAAAAAACGTTTAAATATATTTCCCCCCCCCTCCCCATTAATTTGTTCGTTTGCGTGTTTTTTCTTTTCCGTTTCCGGGAAACAAAAAAATTTTTTTGGTTTTATTTTTATAAATATTTCTTTTAAAATTTTATTTATTTTTTTTTTTTAATTTCGATGCTTTTCCTTTTCCGGTCGATCAAAACAAATTATTATTATTATTATTATTATTATTAATAAGAAAAACGTTAAAATTTGAGTCGTAGTAAAAAAATGAAAATTCGTTACACAATTATTATTTAATAATCGGTTTGGCTCTTACTACTTGACTTATAGAAAAATTTATTTATTTATTTATGTAATAATAATAATAATAATAAAATCGTTTTGTAATTAATAAATAAGTTGTTATAAGAAGGCGTTTCCAATCAATTTTTTTTTTTTAAATGTTGTCAACCTGGTTTTTTACTTCCTCGAGGAATCGATTACCGAACGGTTCGAAAAAAATTTTTTTTTTAAATAAATTTTAACGAATCATCATCATCATCATCATCATTTCGCACTTTTCGGCCATTTTGTTTTTTTTTTTTTTAAATAAATAAATTTCACCTGACATTTGACACTCGTTGCTCGGTTATTAAGAAAAAAATATCGTGAGAAATGAAAGAAATTTTACCCCAAAAAATTTTTTAATAACTTTCACAAACTTTTTTGTTTGTTTGGAAAACTTACTTTAAAATAAATATTTCTTCTGCTTGCTGCGAGGGAATTAAAAGGGGAGAAAAAATGGTGGTTGAACATTCATTTAAACGAACGATGATTAATGATGAAGTTTGAAAAAAAAAAAATTTTAATTTGTTGTTTCGGTTTTGGGGTTTTCTTTTTAATTTAAAATTTTTCGTGTCATCACGTTCGTCTTAATCGTCCCCCCAAAAACTAAATCATTCTTTATATAAAAAAAAAAATTTTTAAATCGAATCCCTCATTTAGTTAAAAACTAAATAAAAAAAGTCGCCATTTTGATAAATTTTTTGATTTTTAGTTTTTTTTAAAAAAAAAAATTAGGTTTGTAAAATGTGGGAATCGTTCGTTTGTTCGTTTGTTCACTACGCCTTCATTGTTTCCTATAAATACCGGTTTTTTTTCATAATAATAATAATAATAAAACGAACGAGTTTTACCGTTCGCAGGGCAACAAACATCGAAAAAGTAGTTGA